ACCGGGCCGCGGCGTCGAAAAGGTTGGGGATCCCTGCTCTAACCCATAACCTCGGGAGGGAAACGACTCCACCGGTTAATTGTTCTGTCACCAGGAGCCAAGGGGGCCTCTTTGGCTGGTGGGGAACCCAGAGATGGCAAAACAGGTTGACACCCATCCCCAGGCCAAAGTTATAGCCCAACAAACTCACCTTGTTCAAGACGAGGAGGCTGGGAACCTGCGGGAACTGCTTCAGGCAGTGAAGCACCTGCGGGTGAAGCTGATGCCGGGTGTGGCGATCCGAGACATCCACGAGGACCAGCACTTAAGGAAACAGGGAGGAAAATGAACTTTGGGCCAGCCACCTTGCCCGCGGGAGTGCAAAGGGACAGCTAGACGAATTTGTGGCACCAGCACGTGGCAGCCCTGCCACCTTCGCCTAATCACCGGCACGAAACCAGGGAATGGTATCTGATGGATGCAGGCCGAATCTCACCTAAATCTGCATCGTTCAAGCTGTCAAAGGGGTCAGACAGCATGGTCTTTTCCAGGTTGTGTCTGAAATGGAACACAGGCAAAGCGTCCGTCATAAAGTGAATACTTCTCCCCCTCCCCCCTCACACACACACACACACACACAAGACCCACTGTCCAGGGCACAGGTGTCCAACCCTGACAACTTAAGACTTGCAAAACTTCCATGACTGGGGGATTCTGGGAGTGGAAGTCCACCCCTCTTAAAACACGCTGGCTGGGGGATTCTGGGAATTGAAACCCACCCCTCTCTTAAAGGATTGCTGGCTGGTGAACTCTGGGGATTCAAGTCCACCCCTCTCTTAAAGCATGGATTCTGGGAGTTGAGTGTCCACGTCTTCAGGTTAGACTTCCTACCTTTTGCCTTTGGCAGCAGTGGTGAGGCCAGGGGTATCCAAGATAATCTAGAGAGAGAACAGGAATTTAAGCATGTTCAAACCAGGACAATATTTCCCTTACTTTTGCAGTGTTGAAAAAAATGAAACTAACTTTTTAGGTAACCATCTATCCAGGGTGTCTTGAGCTGTCACACTGACCGGCCTTGAGGAGAGTAGGACAACTTGGACAGTCAAGCTACTCCCTACAAATTGAAGTTTGCCTTTTGGTCAGGAGAGCCATCTCTTCTTAAAGGATTGGGGGGGGGGGGGGGGGGGGGGAGGATCCACAATGTGATCCTTTAGATCAGGGGTCTCCAATTCTGGGAGCTGAAGTCCGCCAGGCTTAAAGTGGCCAAGGTTGGAGACCCCTGCTTTAGGTACCTGAAAAGACTCTTTTTCAGCTTCTGAAGCTGCCTCCCTTGGTGATCCACACAGTTGGAAGCTGTTACACACAGTCCTTGACTTACGACGGTTGCTTAAACTACAGGTAGTCTTCGACTTAAACCCATTCTTGGTGACCATTTGAAGTAACCGTGGCCCTGAAAGAGTGACATCCCTGTTTTTCAGAGTTATGGCTGCTGCAGCATCCCCCTGGTCAAGGTTTGCCTTTCGATATTGACAGAAAAACAGTTCCAACTCCTTCTTATGACGGCTCCTCACCAGCTGGGTATCCTCGGCTGTGATGACGCCTTGAGCGTTGCATCTGGTCGTGTGCACCTTACTGGAGACCGGCAGGATCTGCCAAAAACAAAGAAAAAACAACTCAGAATTATTTTAGATTGCGAGGCCTGAAGAGGAGGCATTATTTATACTTTAGTCCTAAACTCTTATGACCACAATCGGGAGCAGAATTTCCCATCGCTTAAGCAAGGCGGGTTAAGTGAGTCACGTGCAATTTTACCACCATTCCTGCCAGGGTTGCTAAGTGACTCACACTGTGATGACCCAAAGGGCGTGGCACAAAGGTAGCACAGCCAGATAATAAGTAAAGCTCCAACTTTGTCCCCAACGTCCTGGTTACCTTCCGGCCTGGAGAAAACTCTCTCAGGAACCTATCACAGCCTTTGGCTGCAGATTTCAAGTCCAAAACTTTAAACCATAAATCTAATTAAGGCAAGATGAGGTAATTAATCCGGCAGAGCAAGATAAGGAGTTCCAGAAGTGAAGTACCAAGCAATAAATCAATACAGTTGGGAGGATGCCAGGAACACAGATAAGCCACTATGCCACAGAATAAATACATGTTTGTTCCCAGCAGCTGCCGCACTCTGCTTGCATCTCTTTTAAACTCTCTTCCCAGGTGTGTCTAATGAAGGGAATCAGGGCCCTTTCCTTCCCCGTCAGCCACGCAACCCATGTTGCTCCCTTCTCCATTCTTCCCTAGGATGAAGAGGGGGTGGGCCTGGGTCTTCCTCTGAACTCCCTCTCCCTTGTTCTATCTCTACGCTGCTCTGCCCGGTTGGACTTTGCCCTTCCCCAGTTTCCTCCACAGCCAACGGAGCCACACTCTGTTTGTCTTCCCTGTTTGTCTTCCTCCTCCTTGGAGTCAGATTCTTGGGGGGCGGGGCAGGACACACACCTTCGCTAAGTGAACTGAGCTCCCCCAATGGATTTTGCTCATCAGAAGTTAGCCTCAGGACACCCCCTCCCCGCATGTGGAACCCCCCCCCCCCGCCAGAATCGAGGCCTACTGTGGTGGGAAGGTCACCAGCAGCCGTGGTGCTCAATTGCTCAGTGAGGAAAGAACAGCTGCACATCACTTTTTTTCAGTGCCGCTGTGACTCTCCAATGGTCACTAAACGAGGACTACCTGTCGTGTACGGCTGAAGCGCTCACACCAAGCATTGGAGCCCCGCGGCCTTTACCTTCCGTCCGAGCAGCTGGTTCGACAGGGTGGACTTGCCGGCGTTGGGAGCCCCGATAATGGCCACTCTCAAGACTCTGGGGTTCTCCGGCTGATCAGGGCGGTGGAACAACAGGGATCTGTGATCACCTACAGGAAGGAACAGGGTAAAGGTTGAGTGGGTCACTGCGAGGGGTTCAAAGCCCCAGAGGCATTTGCACGCTCTAAATACGACGCCTTTGCTGGGGTGTGAAGGTCGCAAAAGGGGATCGCGGGGACTCTGCAGCTGTCATAAAGGCGAACCAATCGGCAAGAGTCCTAATTTTGATCACGCGACCATGCTGCCACCGTTGTAACTATGAGTCCGTTGCCAAGCACCTGAATATAAATCACGTATGCTGCAATGGTCATTAAGTGTGGAACATGGCCCTAAGACACTTTTTTCAGTGCTGTTGTAACTGTGGTCACTAAACGAACGGTTGTAAGTCGAGGACTGCCTGCAATCTTCCTTTCCTAGATTAAAAACTGGTTTTCCTGGACTTTCGAATGGTCACTAAAGGAAGGGTTGTAAGTCGAGGACTGCCTGCCCAAGGACGGGCTGGGAAAACCCTCTTTCCGGGGCCAAGAGGGGAAGAGACGCCGGCCTCAGGGACCCCCCCGTGCGGACCCCCCCTCCGCCAGGATCGAGGCCTACCGGGGAAGGCGCAGGCGGGCGGGGCGGCCGGCCCCCCCAGAGACGGGCCCGCTTCTCCCGGGGCGATCCCGGCCAGGTGATCCAGCGCGGAGTCGCGGCTCTGCGGGCGAGCCGGGGCGGCCCGGAGGGGCTGCAGGGGGCCCGTTCCCGAAGGAACCCAGCTTGCCTCCTGTCCCTTCACACCGAGTGGCCGCGAGTTCCTCAGGCTCAGAGCGCGGGCCGAGGCCGGCTCCAGGCGAGGGGAGGCGGCCGCGAGGAGCCGAGCCTGACGCACGGCCAGGCCCAAGGCCTGCCAGCCCAGCCTCGCCGTCGCCATGGTGATCTAGCGCCTCACGAAGCACCCTCGCGGGCCTGCGCCGCCATCTTGGATCCGGCAGCCGGAAGGACCTTCTGGGAGGCGAGGGGGGCGGAAGGGACCGACCACAGGGGCGGGGGGGGGGGTGGGGCGAGGCGGGGGGGGGGAGCCGCGCAGAGGCGTCGGGGGCGTGGCCTCAGAGGAGGAGTGCCGCCGCCGCCCTTTCTTCTTTGTGCGCTTCCATTTCAGAGCGCTCCTCGAGCATGCGCAGAACGCCTCGTCGAGTTGGGGGGGGCGTGTGTGCAGGGACTGGGTCACGTGGTGGAGAAGACTCGAGACAAAGTTCCTGTGAGCATACGCAGAGCGCATTCCAGACTTGCTTGATCTGTTTGGAGGTGGGCGGGTATTTTGTTAAGGGCAAATTCTTCAAATTCTCTCTGCAGCATCTCCACCCAGTGCCCTTCAGTACCTCTGGACATATGCAGAGTGCATTTCGGACCCTTTGATCTATATGGAGCTGGAGGGGGCTCTACTTTGTTTGCTTGGAGCAAGTGCTTCCAAGGCTTCAGCGGGTCTCTGCGGCACCCTTCCCCGCCCCCCCCTTCCAGTTTTTCTGAGCATATGCAGAGTTCGTCCCAGCCCTTTCAACGGAGCTGGGCTGTTTTGTTCCCTAGTTCAAGTGCTGCCTGAGTTCAAGGACTTGCATGCTCTCTGCTGCTCTCCGGTCCTCTGAGCATGCACAAAGTACCTTTTGAGTTTTCACCCTGTTTGACCTCCAGTCCCTTTTCTGCCCTGATTGCTTTCTTAGTGCAAGTGTTTCAAGCCGCCTGGGAAAGCCAAATAGCAATAGCCAGAGCCCTTAGACCAGGGGTGTCCAACCTTAGCAACTTTAAGACTTGTGGACTTCAACTCCCAGAGTTCCTCAGCCAGCTTTGCTGGCTGAGGAACTCTGGGAGTTG